CATGCTTTTCCAATGGAAGAGGGATGAAGGAAGGGATCAGAACAACCATTAAAGTTACACTCAGCATTACTGGTCAGCTGCTGCCTGCATGTGCCTTGTAGGGAGGGAGTAAATGAGACACCCTTGCACTCAGAGGCAAGACAACCATGATACTTAATAGCATTTTAAAAAGGTCTATACACACATGCATAACAGCATCATTATTTGCCTGAGGTACTTCTGGCTTGTGAACTACTATTTTTTTGGTTTGTTTTTGTTTCCTCCCCCTGCCAAGTGACTAAAATAAGGTTGGTCAGTTAAATATGGCTTTTTCCCCTCACGCTGCCTCTACACTTTGCATACTTGAGGGGGCATTGGAGAAACTGAGTCTGCAGTTTAATCCAACAAAGTTCAAAGGGAGGAGGCCACAGCAGGCAACGCACAAGCCTTCAACCCCAGGGAACATGAACCAGCCCTGGGCTGCAGAAAAGCATCCACGAGGCTGCGCATGATTCATTTGCCCCTTCCTTTTTTTCTGCCAAAAGGAAGTTTTATCCTATCCTGGCCACTATTAAATCTGCCTGATGTTTGAACCTCTGTGTGGCATCTGATTATTCTGATATCAAGTTCACACTGTTGGAGGAAAAGTCTGCAGAATCATATGAATCGAAGCTTTCTGAATAGTCATTATTTGGGAAATGACATCTGACCCAGATTTTGTAATGACTCACACAACAGGAGTTATATAATTTGTTACTAATATTAGAAATGATGAACTGTGAGATTATTAAAAAACTGCCTGTTTCCATCTTTACATAAACAATAATCTCTTAGTGTAGACTGCAACAGAGGGAGGTTTAGGGGGAGAGTTGATTTTTTTCCCCCCTCCTAACCTCCTTGTAAAGCTATTTCAGTGTCTAATTCTTATAAAATACACATTTATAAGAACACACCATTACAGACATATCCATAGTTCAGAGCTCCAAGAAGTCAACAGAAACAATTCTGGTCCTGAATATAATATCTGCTTAGTAGTAGTGAAAATTCTTATTAACTTAGTAATTAGAAGGAGCTGCTGCAAAGCTTTTGAGGTTATCTGGCTGGTACTTGCCTTACACACACACACATCAAGCTCCATGGTGGTGTTCCTGGTTGGGTTACTTACCCCTGTGTGAAGAGTTCTTGAAATGTGACAGCTTGAGCTTTGGCATTGCCCCAGTGATGCCACTGTAGCAGAATTGACTGGTTCAGCAGATGATTTTTAAAGCATTTATAAAATATAAAACATCACCCCGTTTTAAAGGGGCTCTGGTTTTCAGCTCTGATTTGTTGGAAGGAAATACCAAAGTGTAATATTTAATAAAGCACATCCTTGCGTGCTGCTAGATATATTTATCTCTACTCCAAAAATAAAAATCAGAGAGTTTTAGGTCCTTCCTACCACAGGCTGGACCTGCTTTCAGCTGTAGCTGGGTTCAAAAGGAGATGTTAAGCACAGTTCAAAGCTTGACAGATCCTTACTTCAAAGGGATATGGAAGACAAGGAAATGAAACAGGTGATGGGTGGGAAACACACAGTGCTTAAATAACAGTTGGCATGGGCCTAGGAGATTATGCGAATGCCTTCTGTTAGTTTGTTTTTAAGCAGGCAGGATTAACTGCCACGTTCAGCACATGTTGCTATGGATTTGCTTGCTTTGACCGGGAGCTGCAAGGACTTTGATAACTGGGGGAAAAAAGAGAACATTTTCAGTACAAGCTCTGCTTGCCTTATCTCAAGTTCTCAACACAACAACTTCCCTCAGACTGTAGCACATCAGAAAGGAGGCAGAACGTAAAGGCCAGATCTAAATCCTGTTGCACACGAGGAGGAAAGGCCTACGTTAGGGCTTTAATATATTTTGTCCTAAACCAGATTTTCAGGATTCCTGTTTTGCAAATTTTGGAGAATCAATTATTCTCTACATCATTCGCAAAGATGCTAAACCCCTATGTGCTGTTCCTGGAGAAGCTTAAAAATGCATCTCCTGCCGAGCAAYGTGCACTCTGTCTTCAGATTAAAGCACTGTCTTTCCGCTAAGATGCGAACAAACTCTTAAGGAGGCTGTTTCACCACACTGTTGGACAATAAAATCTGAGTGTTTAAAATCCTAATTTCATCCATATCTGACTCTGAACAGTTTCCTGCATCTCTCACTCTTCAAGGAAGATCAGACAGTAACTTTCTCTCTCTTCTTTTATTCACAGCAGTGATGTTTTGAGCACAGCTTTTGCCAACACAGATCAAAGCAGTGCGCTACTACCAAGGATTTTCCTCTCAAGCACATCAGCAGGCTCCAATAACATTAGCACATCCCAAGTTCAACAATTGTCTCCATAGCACTGTATTTCTTCATAAATTCCTGTTCATTCTAAAACAAATCCAGTTGTCCAAGAAAAAAGCCCCATAATTACTCATCACATTGAGGAGTTCCCCATTTTTCTCAGTTTTATGTGATATCACTTTTTTTTAGCCAAAGAATGTACTTTCTTACATTAATAATTGTATACTTGCCCTGGCTCCATAAAATGAATTCTTTTGGTTTTAATTTTAAAAATCTCAGTGTTCTCTATAAAAAAAGTGTATTTTGAAGAAAAGCAACAAATGCAAGACTMATTTCCCAACAAACCACGAACATTGGAAAATAAATGCAACTACTCAACATGCAGAATCAAAGGCCCAAACATTAACAGAATGTTGGTTTTCAAGCTCTCTGTCCACTATTTGACATTATTTCTCCTGTGCTTGTGCTATAGAAGTCAGAAGCAGAAGCCACCTACATTACTCTGCACTTATAAATGACAACGAGCTGCACAGGTTCAAGGCAGGCAGTACTTCTGGGGCAGGCTGCCTTGTAGGAAGGTGATTCAATGCAGAGGGCGGATAAACCAGTGATGACACCGTGGTAGCCACTGTGTGTCTACACACAGTGTGTTACTACACAACAAGTAACACTGTGTGTTACTACACAACGATGCTGCTTCTGCAATCCCCAGTATGTACTCTCATTACAGAAAATGGCTAAAGTAAAAGGTACTACACTAAAAAAAAGCTCATGCAATCACTGAATTTGAACAGCAGAGAGCAGCCACTTAACAGAATCATCGAGATTTTCCCCTTGGCCTGGGCCAAGGCTAATGTGGAGTTAATACATAGTGGCCAGGACACAGCACTAGAAAATCCCCTAACTCTGCTATTTCATTTGAGGACTTCTCAGAAACAGTTCCATCTTCTGAGATAAAACATTAATGTGAATGTACATGCCAGATATGAAATGTAAACTGCACTCTTGCCACAGAGCTCCACATTCAGAGCTCTAAAAGAAATATTTATAATAAATCTTGATTTTATTCACTCTAAATAGAATTTGCCTGTTATCACTGAGCAGACACAGGAACAAGGAGCCTTCTTGCTTTCCAGGCTTGGCTTCAGCATGGAGGAAAGGACAGACAGCAAGGTAAGAAACATCAGGATGGAAACGGGAAGGTTTTTATTGGCCTAGCACTTACAAAAATGCAGCCCATGTCTCTGCTTCTGCTGGAAGAGCTGCTGGAGCTGGAAGCTGCTGCCAATCTCTGCACAATCAGTAAGTTTCCACTCCCTAGMAGCAGGAACTTGCATTTCTGTCTTCGAGGAGGAATGTGAGAACATCATGTGAACAAGCAGGGTGCGGAGTCCAAAGGGCCAGGTAAGCTGAAAAATATCTTTGAAAGTGAAAAGGATTTTGCTTATCAAGCCAAATGTGAGGAAAGGAGCTGTTGTCAAGTCTAACAGCTCCAGTTTCATGTTAGGTCATGGAAGCACTCAGCACTGAACCCCTTTTTGGAGGCCAGATTGTTCCATTTGAGAGCAAATGCCAGGGAAGGAGGAAAGTGTCCGGTCCAGGCTTGTCTGTCCCACTTCTCAACTTTTTTTCTTGTTAAATTTAGAAGCTCTTAAAAATTATCATTTTTCTCCTGTACATGATTTGATAACTTGTTTTGCTATTCTTTTTGCCAAAAATTGTAATGTTAACTGTTTGGATTCCTTGCATAATGTCAAGCCCATGTATCACATTCTGTTTTTTGACATTTACAACTTGTGATAAATTATATAAAACAGTTGTGGCAACCACTACAATCTGTCTTGAAACAGCTTTTCTGTTTCCTACTTTACAGTTTCTATAAGAGAAAGAAGCTTTCACAGAAGGAAAGCAAGAAGCACACACAGAGGCTTGTCCAACAGAAACCGCCTTGGGGTGGAATGCTCAGCTCAACAGATAAAAGAAAAAAGGACTCTTCGCATTACATTTTTCTAAAAGTCAGTGGCAAGGTAGCACTGGTTTTTGAGGAGAAGGAAAGGGGCACAGCCCCCTTTCCCAGTTGGGGAAATAGAGACCACTTGCACAAGATAGATAGTATGACTAGATTCACTGTCGACTGGAACTACCCCTCAGTATTGCTTTAGCATTTACTGCTCTATAGACTTCACTGCAAAGAAAACTTATTTACTATAATCAGAAAAATAACGATAAAGCAATCAACTAGCCATATATCTGAAGTGAATCTAGCAGACACCTGTGTGAGAAGAGCCTTTGGCAGCACTCCCTCAGCCTTGTTTGTGACTGTAGCTCTGTACACAAACCCGCAAACCTCCCTCTTGGGTRTGCAAACATGTGGCTCCATCTGTGCCACAGTCTCAGATGCTAAAGGCCTGCACAGCTGGAATCACCAACCACACTTCCTAGGCTAGTGGGCACACACACTGCCAGGCCACCTCCCTCCTGACCAGAGGTTCTGATTCAGCACATACTTCACCTGGTAAACAGCCTCAGTGACAGCACTTGGAGGCCTCMTTGTTTGGAGTCTATAAAATGAGGTGAGGCAAAACAAAATACTCCCTCTCCCTGCAAAACTACATGAGGAATATGAAACCAYGATATTTACCAGTAATCTGCTGGAATACACAGAAGTGAAAAAAAAATCTTCACAGGAAACAGTTCTGCTAAAAGAAAAGTCCATGGTTTAATATTATTTTCTCCTGCAGAAAAAAAATAACACTTCTGAGAAAGACATTTAGCAGCTTTTGGTCCCATGTAGAGTCCAAAGAACTGCAAGTGTCATGTTGTTTGAGGATTGCTCAGTTTTATTCCAAGTGAACTGAAGTCTTYGTACACACATCTGCATATCCAATGAACATTAATTCTGATCATCCAGGTCTTGCTGACAATTGGCACAGGCACTGGAAAGTCAATGTGTCTGAAAAACAAAATCAAAATATTCTCTGCTTACTATTTAACAAGGTTGAACGCTKAAGTTATCACAGACCATGTCAGTGATATATTGAATATAAACACAATTAAGAGCCTGGCAGCTTGCTCTAAAGCCACACACATGCTACTATTTAAGAAAGGGAAAGGCTATTGCACTGGAAGAACCCTGATGTTTACTCTGCTTTTAATTGATGTCTCCATTATCTGACCTCTCAGAAAGACTAAAAAAGCAAACATCACAGTACATGTTTCTGACTCTCCTAATCTCTCCCTGGGCAGGTTGATGTATTGATTTTAGTTGAAGATTAGCCAACACTGAACTCTTAACTGATTAAAGCCAGTGTGAATTTGAGAAGCCCCTCAGTATAGTCCAAATCTATGATGACCAAAGATCATTAAAGTCAATTAAGTCATGCCCCTGTTGGATTGTAGCCCAAATCCAAACTCCTAAAGTTCTCAGAAATTACAGACAGGAGATGTGCTTATCTGATCTTGTGAAATATCAATGTCCTTTGACCACTTTTTTTTTTCCTTCTTTTTACACTGACTTCTGCCTAATTGCATCCTGCAGACATCTTGGTGCTCATTTGAGACATACACAAGTGTGATTTAGACACATGTGAGGAACACACCACTTAAACATAGAACTGCAGAAAATTATTGCTCAAGTTATTCTATGCCTGCTACTATCTTTCCAGGACTAGACTAAGACTGAAAAGGAACTTCCATAGCAAACCAAACCATCCTGGAGGACAAAACCATTCAAATGAGATCACCACCATCCAGAAAATGCAAGATTTATAAGCTTAGTAGTTACTTTAACAAAGTTGTATGCCTTCCCTCTCTCCATCTGCCTTTACGTATCAGAGCAGGCTACATCCACCTTGGAGGACAACCCCAACATCCAGATTAATGTCTCTTGCTATTTGAKTACCTCCCTTCTGACACCAGAGAAGTCAATGACAGACTCACAGTGCTGCTATCCTTGAAGGACAGGACAGGGAGCTGCAACCGCAGGGCCTTCCCTAAGCCAAGGGGAGCAGGAGCAAAGGGTTGAATGCAACTCACTGATCACAGGTGGGTGGGTGTTGGTGGAGGCTGCAGGTGACACTGATCAGGGCCATAAGGATCCATTGGAAAAGGCAGGGTCCTGACAGAGTTAGGTGACATGTGCCTGGTGCCTCGCTGTCCTCCAGAGTGACCGTGCTGCGACCTGGGCAGGTCATCATCCAGCCCTGCAGGTCTGGCCAGCACCATCACAAGAACRGCAGCAGAACTGCACCTCAGAGCAGCTGAGCCGTGGGGAGAACAGCACCTTTAATATCAGGCTTGTGCTGCAGCAATATCTGCTTTTAAAATTCTAATATCATGAGTATTGCAGCATTCTGCCTCATCCTGAGGGCCATTAGCCTCAGGCACATCCATATCTCTCTTCTAGGATTTAGTGCTGAGAACTCCAGCAAATGCATTCCGGATCCATCAGGCTTTTAGCCTTTTCTTCCCGATTGTTTTCTTTAGAGGTGGGAAAGAATAAGTGGCAATAGAAAGGCTCCTTTCACCCACTCCCTTAATTATACCCCAAATGTTATTAACAATGAGGCTGTCTCTTGCCTCCTTTGCAATGAAACTGCTTATTAGTAATTAAAGTTTGATTTATACTAACAGTTCCATATTAAAAAAAGATCAAAATATCTACCCTAATAGATACAGGAGATAAGATAAAAGGTGAAGAGCAAGCTTTCTACCATGTCCCACTTCATGTGACCAAATTATCTCAGAACAACTTTTTAAGGCACAATAATAGACAAGGAATCAAACTTCCATTCCTCTACAGTCAGAACTTCAGAGGRAGGAAAATGGGAAACAAAGTCACTTCTGTACTATAGTTTTCAGTTTAGCAATGCTTGAACTGTTCATGGAGATATCTCAAGCACAAGCATATTACAAAGTCATAGACTTGGCTTTGTCAGCATATAATATAGATTGCTGGTTTGCTCACATGCCTGACTAAAATTAAGATAAGATTGAAATATAACTAAAAAACATTGTGGGAAAGAATAAAGTATATTCTTAGTCAGAAATTCTAAGAATGTGGTTTAAAAGACTGTTTAAAACTAGAGATGAAAATTAGAGATTAAAATCTCAGAATGATTGAAAATAGGGTTTTTGAAATGTAGGTCACTGATTATGCTGGATTCCACATAATTTCTGTAACTTTACAGGAGAAGAAATACAGGTTTATATACCCGTTTTATCATGAAATCAAGAATCAGTGAAAAATCTTCATTCTTTTAAGTCAGAGATAAAAATGTGAATATAGTCTTTACCACTAKAGTTTTTACCAGCCTAAATCCAACGGCCATAGTTTAAAGATGATTTGTCAAAACTATCTCTACCATATCCTACCACACCACAAAAACCACAGCATTTCCGCAGGACTGATAAGGGCAAATTCATCCAAGCTGTAATTCCATCAAGGCCAAGAGAGTTACAGCAAGATATGAATCCACTTATGTGAGTTTGACCATTTGAACTTACAAAAAAAGTGCACAAGTTTTTCTTGAGTATACTGAAAGCAGTAAGGGAAGATAACCAATTCCAATGGATTATGGTTGATTACAGAACAGGTTAAAGAAGTTTGTGCTGCACAGGAAAGGAGTTGAGAGCTTCAGGAAAGGAAGAAAGATTGGAAACTCATAACTGGGGCTTCAACATATCTGCAGCACACACATGAGCTTGCATGTTCCATAGCACCTCCAGAACAGAAGGGGATCTCATCYGTTTGATCTGCTGTCATGTCCCAGGGCTACCTTTAATTGCTCATAATAACCTTGTAAAGCTGTCAAAACAAGTCAAGTAAATAAGTACTCCATAAAGTCTTGAAAAAACTTGCAAGCTTCTTTTTTTATGYGTTGTTAAATATCTTTCAAGCTAGCATCTCTCTCTATTTTTAGAAGTGCCTTTTCCTAGTCAGAGGAAACTACTCCCACATGTTCTCTGAAGGGAGAAAAAAAAGAAATCAACTGCAATCCGATAACCAGTCACCCTTGTAAAAAATACGTACAAACTTGGATTTTTTTTCCATTTCTGAAATGAAGAGAATTTGGAACATTATAAAGGCATTTCCTTCCTGAAGGAAAAACTTCATACATTTAAATTAAAATCTCAATTTGGCTCATTAGGACATTAGGATAAATAACCTATGTACAAWGCTCAACATCCTGCACTCGTAGCAGTCACTAACCTAATATGCCACCATCAGCAATTTCCATTTTAGTTACAGTTATTACCTCTCAGAATGGAGGTTCTAAGTGAGGTTTCTGTCATATGCATAACATTAATKAGACAACCCAGGGGACAAGGCTACCTTACAGCCAGGCACCAACAACTTAAACAACACATCTTCAAGTACACTTTCCCTTCAAACAACTCAGGCCTTCTTATACTGCCACGATCAGTTCATTAGGAGTAATGAAGCTTATCTTCCTAATGTGCACCTGAGTCTGCAAATTCCTTGCCCAGGCATAGACAAGCTAGAGAAGAATCATGTCCAGATGGAAATTAATTATTAAGCCACATTTATCATGTGAGAGGGGCAAGGTGGCTGCTGTTGGCCTCAAAGCACTTCTATATTCTTCATACTCAGTAAGATGTCTGGATTTGACCAGTTGTCCAAATCAGGCTGCTCRTATTAAACCCTAAAGTCCTGCACACCTGCTGAGACAGTCACATCCTGCTTTTATCCCTTTTCTCCATTTCCACCTAGCCTCTTTTGGTAAATATAGCAGTGAGGTGCAATTACTATAAGAGGGGATTTAAACAGTTTAAAATTCCATGGCTTTGCTCATTCCAACTGYGCAGAACTGTGCACTTACTCTAAAATGGTCTGTTCCTTCTATAAAACTGTAAAGGAATTCTGTTTCAAACTATTCAGGAGTGAAAAAATTTCTAAAATCCTTAAAAATTTTCACATCAGGGAAAYTATTTCCTCCACCAGATATTTAGTTTATCTACCTATCTCAGGGCAAGTGAGGGTCAGAAGTCCATGCTTTTGAAATGSACTAAACTAGAATTGCACAATGTACTATCCACATTTCAAAGGGGATGTCTTGACAGGGTAACCTACCCATCTGTTCACACTTTGAGAAACTCATCTGAAAATGGGGGCACGTGGTACTTTAGTCTTCCATTCTAGACCCCAGATGCTGTACAAAAACACACCACAGATTCTGTTACACTTATCAAGTTTCATTTCAACAGTGCAAGTGGAAAGACTGTTCCTAAGTTTCACCTCTTATCCTCAACATGAATTTACTCATGATCTCCGGYCACTCTGCTAACACTGACCTCTTGCTTAAGTAATATTTTACTTTTCTGTTTCCTGTATTTTATTCTCTTTATATGTTTACAGACAACARTCACGAACTGACTTTTATTTACCCAAGCTAAACAAACCAAACCTTTTAAGTGTTCTGTTATCTGGTATGATAAACCATCCATTTTCCAGATAAACTGTGTGGCTCTTTGCACCTGATTCAGTCTGAATACACCTTTCTTGAAAACTGACAGTCTGTATTCTGCATCATTTCTCCTGCACCTCTCCAGGACCAGGTACAAGAGAGTAAACTACTTTACTTCGTCTCTTTCTTTGTCTCTCTTGCAAGTCCTGGAGATCTCTAGAACCCAATTTTCAACATGTTTGGTTTACGGTACCTCTAAAACACAACTCTTCGTAATGGTGTGACAGATCCTGTGCTTACTCTCCCTTCTGCCTAAAACACCCTGCTTTCTTTTCTTTCTCACTCTTAAGTATATCATCCTCCTGTCACTCATTTTCAGATTGCTGCCTCTTTAACAGATAAGCTGCTCCTCTCTTTCTCTTCTTTTCCTAGTTCCCTGCCTTGCCTGCCCTCTTCTGCTATACCTTCTGGATATTTCCAAAGGTATTTGGTATCCTGCAAACTACAAATAAATACGCTAAGAGGCAACAGACCTACAAATAACATGCATGTCCTCAAAGACTGCTCCATCCTCAGAAAAAAACCAAAACCCTATATAAAGTACAAAGAGGCTTKCTTACCAGAGCCTGCCTTGGTCAGAAAGTTACTTGTAAATCCTTCAGTGATACATCCTGGATTCTCATTAAAAATCTGACTTGTCTCATTCTGCCTCTGTAATGGAGAAATGGAGTTAAAAAAAGCAAAGTTTGACAGAAGAATATTAAAAATAATCACAAATATGTCTGTACTGCTCATTGGAAAAGGTGTAGAAGACAATAGTTGGGGGGCCTCTACTTTCTCTAGAAAAAGCTTTCCACTTCATTTTCTTTGGATTCTGAGAAATGAAACAAATACTACATACTTTATTCATTTCCAGAACCAGTACATTTCATGAGCCAAAAACCATTCCTTATAACAGTCTTGCTACAATTCCAGATCTGCAACTAAAAATATGTCCAACTCCTAGCAACAAAGCTCATCTCTGCCTAGTCAGCTACCTTGCTGGGGTTTATCACTCAGGTCAGAGGCACACGAGTCAGACAAAACCTCCCATTTACAGCCCGTGGAAATGGTAGGAAAATGACATTTAAGGGGAAAAATAAGAAGCCCTGCCTTGATTTAATGTACTATGTACTGAAGCAACCCATCCACTCACTTCTCAAAGGCTTTCTTTACATCTAAGTTTAACCTTTCTGTCAAGTTGTGATTAGCTGTAACAAGGTAGTTCAATTTCTTGGTGTCATTAATAAATGTTAGGTCAAACGCTGCTCTGCAGCCCAACATATTAATTAATGCTGGCTGTTTAACAACTCATTCAGTCTTTCCATAAATGATGGATCTAATGACTTAATGCTTAGCATAGAAATCTTAAAAMATTAAGAAAGTCTTACTCAGAAGCATAAGGGAAAATGTTTTCAATTGTTTTATTAAAGTTAACCTTGGCAAAAGAGCAAATGCCTGTTTATAGAATATTTTTGAGTAAACAAAACCATAGCTACATAAAATCTGCATTTCACATGCACAATTTTKTTCTCAAGTGTTCTTCATACTCTGTATACTTCTAAACAAGTGTAATGTGTGAATATAGATACTACAAAATTAGAGAGTAAGGAGTCATTGCAACCRTAAATCAACACTGTAGTTCAGAATTGAAAAGCAATGTAATTTTTAGAAGCCTAACTTCTTTCATGCAGTGCTTAATATAACTATCTAGGAGGAGTCTAAATATACTTAAATACTCATTCCTTGAAGGACAGCTCATAGGAAGCAGTACATAATCCCTCTTACTTTTTAAGACTGAAGTTCAGCACATCCAGAAGAACACTGTCTTGGTATTTATACTACTAGTTTCTGAAAGCCATGCCTGTCTTGCTGTTTGGGAACAATTTGTTTTGAAATATCTCCATTTCATTCATTTCAACTACACAGCAGGTAGAACAGCAACACAAAACACCACCTGCAAATCCACCACCCACTTTCTTTTGCCTTTCATTCTCCCACAGCCCCTTTTATCCTGGCACCTCCACATCTCAAATGTTGCTTTCTCCAAGTTTCCTCAAGGCCCACCACCTCACAAAGCCTCACTTTATTTCTCTAGCTTATTTTCACCTCATTATCAACACACAGGGGGTTTTGCCTCCCAAGAAAGGACCACTTCAGAAACCACACTGCTTATTAACACACAGCTTCAAGAGTGCTCCCCTACAGCTGAAATAAGCAGCTCATTAGCTTGGGGTAGGAGTTTGTAGTGGCCTGGCCAGCTGCTACTAATCAGATGCTTACATTGATTTCAGCTTCTGAACACTTGACACCAGCAAAGAGCACCAGAACTTCATAGGTGATGCCAAAAGCTCCCCCTGGGCCTTTCCTGGGCTCCCTCGTGCCAGGACACAGGGCACYCAAGGGCTCACCATACTCACTTGGGAAAGACTTCCAAGGAGTCAGTCTTCAAAAACACTGTGCTCTCAGACAGCCGCAGCGACTTGAGAACAAAGGAAATCACCTTTATAAAAATAATTGGGTAGAGGGGCCCCTTTGACAGGCGTTTCCCCTCTCAATAAGACCCCGAGGTCCAACTGCCCTCACGAAGCCACTGCTGTGTCTAACCGTCCGCACCAACGGCCCCCGTGCGCCAGTCACGTGGCTTTAAGCGCGCCGGCGCTTGCGTCACACGCCGCGCAGCCAATGGCGCGCTCTATTTATACATGCATATTCATGAGGTGCTACCCTGCTCGCCACAGGAAGGCGCGCGCGGCGCTGCGCTGCGGAGCTCGGCGGCAGCGGCGGCCTCCAGCGCGCGGGGCGGCGGCGCCCGCGGCCCTCGCTCCCCCGCGCCGAGGATGAGCCAGCGCGACACCCTCGTGCACCTCTTCGCCGGCGGGTAAGTGCCGCGGGCCGCYTCTCCTCCCGCCGGGGCCCAACGGCTTCCCCCGGACACGGAGGAAGGGGAGCGGCGGCGGGGCCGGGCAGGCTCCGGGGGGAGCCGCGGCCTGCGCCGCCGCCGCTCGGGTTGGGCTGAGCAGATGCCCGAGCCTGGGCGCGGTGCGCGGCGGAGGAGCCGAGTCAAGCCGGTCGCGGTCCCGGCGAGCCTGGGCGCCGCTGCCGTCGGCAGGGTGAAGCTGCGGCTCCGGGCGCCGGTGCGCAGCGCGAGCGGGGCCCGGGCGGCCCCGAGCGGCTCCTGGCGCCTCCCGGCCGAGCGCCGCCGCGGGCGGCCCCGCTGCTCCCTCCCGCCCGTGGGCCGGGGAGGGCAGCGGCCGAGCGCTTCCTCAAATTTCCCGTCTCCTAAAGCTCCAGGAAAGAAGACGCGGAACGCGGCCTTACTGCCGCGCTTGGCCTTGGCGGCCCCGCAACGGGACGTTAAAGTGCTGGGGGGGCCGTGCGTGGCAGCGGGGAGGGGGTCCCGCTCGCAGCCGTGTCCCCACGGCGGGCACGGGTGGCTGTGCTGGGGTGCCAGCCCCCGGCCGGCTGTGGGGAGGGCCCGGGGGCCCCTTCGGTCACCCGGGGCCCCCTTCGGTCAGGGTCAGCAGCAGGGAAGTCCCTCAGGGTCACGTTGTGGCTTCTGCTGGTGCAAGGCTTCGCTTGAGGACCTTCCCCAAAACCCTGAAGGGGGAAGCTCCGCTCCTTTACTCAAGGTTTTGTTGGATCCTCCATAGAATCTGCACAGTTGGCTCCGTCCACCCACCCTCTTGTAGTGTCTGACCTCAGTYCTTAATTCTTCCTTCTGGAGAAGTTTCATGTAGCTGGGGTTACCCCCAGTGTTTTATGACAGAAATGCTCTTTCTAAGCATGAAAAGAAGTAATTTGGAACTTATTTTGCAATAACTTGAGAGTTTTAGCATGAGTATTGCTTTGAAGTAAGTAGTCCAGATTTTTCTAGAAAACAAAGCTCTGCTAAGTAGTTTTGTTGGAGTAGCTGATATATTAGCTAATGCACAGGTGACCTGTTATGGTCATTTGCATGCAGCTCTGCCTTCCTCACCAAAATGTGCCTTCTAGATATGTGGTTTAATATATGATTTTACGTGATTTTCTATATAATGAGGTTCTATATATAAATGTAACAGCAGTCATGCTCACATGTGGAAGAAATAGTATGGGAAAGGCATYGTGTTTGTAGGGAAAAAAAAGATGATGGATTAGCAAAATAAAAAATTATGGATAATAAAAAGCAATGTGAATAACTCCAAGATTCCACGTGGAAAATCAGTTGTAAGTAGCAGGATTTCTAAGCATTTAGAGTTCTACACAGTAGCTGCTTTGTTACCTCAAGAGACTTAAGCTTAGCTTTTCAGACCAACCTGTACAACGTTGTACTGAGGGGTGACTATGTGGATCATACCAGGAGCACYGTAGCTGATAGTTTTGTACCTGCCGTTCAGTTCCTGTGTGTGATACCCATGTAACTGCTTAGCCCAGGCTTGGCCATGAGGTTCCTGTGTGTAAGGATCTCTGCACAGACCCTGCAGGCACTGCAGAGCACCATTGACTGACCTCTAGTATCCTGCCCTTGTTGGGGCAGGAACTACCTGGACATCTGTAATCCTAAATTCTGAAGAAGATCACAGAGAGGTGAAGCTGATTTTTTTTTTCCCCAGAAATGCCTCTTTTCCCTTAGAATGAAATTGTTAAAGGATTTTCGTATGTCTTCTGTTGTCCTATCTGCTAGTCACATCGCAGCTGTTGGTGTTGTAGGCAGCAYGTTGGTAGGATGAACTCAGGTGCTCCTCTTCTAAACCAGGAAGAGGAATCTATGGGGCATTCTGCCTTGCATTAAAAAGTCTCATTATTGAAACATAAGTACACTTTATCTTAGTATGTAAACTTATAGTGCATTTAGTTTTCTGTTTGGTAAACTCTTTAAGATGTTTCCACTAGTTTTTTTCTTATGTTTTCCTGTACAGCAAAGATTATCTTCCTTGTGCAGCATGTGACCTAACTTCTTGCAGTCACAATTGGAATATCTAATGGAAAAACAGGGTGTTGGCTATCAAAGGCACTTCCAAGTCTTCATGATTTGCTTTTAATCTCTAGAAATCTTTGACATTATGTCTGTATAACACAAACTTCTTTCCAAGCAGGGAAGTTGGCTGGGCTTGCTCTCCTCAGCAAAAAGATTAGGACCATTTGGGGCCTTTTCAAGGAGGATTCCTCTGGGTCCTTTTGAAGGTAGCAGTTTCTTTTGTCTTGAATGGTTTCAGTTTCATCTAATTCTCTTGGCTTCCCCTGTCTCTTGCAGAAGTTCTTTATTTTAATGTGAGTCAGTATAGGGAGGAGTTTTCATTGCTTTGCTATGACTATAAAACGGTCTTAGTTTTCTATCTATAACCTCAGTAGCGCTTTGCCTGAGAGGTTTGTGAACTTGTGTTGTGTCTGAGATGGTCAATATTGAGAAAACATGTTTAAAACATCATTTTTCTTCAGAGAGAGACAATGTTACTGTATGTGAAACAGCAGTGAAAGGCCCTTAGGTTTATATTTTGGATTTTTAAGAAAATGAGATGAAAGTATAGGCAGTGGTTGGTGTTTTTTTTTTTTTTTTTAACTACTTCTTAGAAAATAGTCACTYGGGTTGCAATTGAGTAATTCAGGCACTTGGACTCTCACCTCCCTGGAATTCCACTTCTGGCATAACCCAGGGATGCCCTCCAGACCAGTCCTTCCCCTTGCAAACTGTAGGAGAGGGTCACCACCTTCCTGCGCCAACTCTAGGTTATTTAGCTGTTTGGATGCTCCTCCAGGAGAAATGCAGGGTTTGTTTAAAGCACTGAGAGGCTTTGGGTTTGCGCCATGAAGTGACTGAATYGCAAGTTATGCAGAAATAGCTGTTGGTATTTTAAGAATTGTGAAACTGGTGCATTTATCATATTTYCATCTGGATGAATGATGCTTTCAGCTGCCTGTACTTAATAAAAAATGTCATACTGTAAGCATTTGTATGCTTGTTTCTCATAGGAAGTATAATTTACATGTTAGCATTTTCTAGTGTTTGCTTTGGATAATGGAAAGCAGTGGTGCTTGTTCCCCTTGTGGTGTTTTTCTATTTACACTTGTAGGCCCTTATSTCAGCAGCAGAGGAACTTTATTTTTACACTGTTAACTAAAAATACCAAGTTTGATTAGTACCTTGAGGTCAAGAATGATAACACAGTACTTGCACTTTTTAAGCTTCACCAAAAAAGACTAATGAGTTAATTATAAGGGATTTATTGCTTTTCTAGATGCCAGTGCCCATAGCCATCATGTTACAACTAGAGTGTGTAATATACAAGTGTAAAATACAGTAACAAGAAAAAGCTACAAGTTTTGCATTAATGAAGTGCCTTCTTGCTGATTTCTGGCAGCTGCACCAGCTTAAGAGGTTAAATTGTATCCAAGGAGGATACTATCAATTAAAAGGATCTAAACCTGTGGGGATTAGGAGTGTTTGCAAGTGACTCGTGTTGGCTCCTTACTTTGGAGAGCTTTGAGCTCCCTGTTCTCACCTGTGTTTGCATGGAGCTTTTGCTTTCCTACAGGAATGAAACAGGGAAAATACCTGGATGAAAGAAGAAGYGAGATAAGAGGGCCAGAGGTTATCTGTGACAAGGCTTGGAGGCCGTGGCTGCAGAAATTGTGAAAGGTGAATCTCAGGCTAGTGGTATGTAGCCTCATCTCTCTGTGTGTTAAAACTGGCTGCTTTTGCCCTGGAGGATTTGCCCATCTAGGTCAGCTGTTGGAATGAGGAAGGTTAATTTGCTTTAGGAGCAGCTGTAGACCATCCAGTGGCTGCCCTGCTGAAGCCCTCATCCCCCCTGGAGCWGTCTGCTCTTGCTGCAGGGCTTTCCTGTGCTGTGGAGGGTGTTTAACAAGCCTAGACAAGGCCAGTGATTCCTTAACAGGTATCCTCAATTTGCTAATATAAAAGTAGGTTTCTTGTGCAGGCATCTCTGGAAGTCGAGCCTGAGATTTGAATGCCAAACAGGACTGAGTTTTGAAGCATATTTATATCTCTTTTYTTGAGTAGCCTCATGAATAATATAGGTGTATTTGGGGGCAGAAACAGCTCCCCATGCTGAGAGTATCTGTGCTGAAGTGCAAGTTTAAAACAAATGCATCCAGGCTTGTCTCCCTTCCTCAGGTGAGGTGATGGATGAGTTGTGCATGCTAGAGGTCAAACCATGTGCCTTTCTTTGCATTGCTGCTCTCTGGAGTGCACTGCCATTCAGAAGGGGCCTGAATCGCTGCCCTCCTCGTCTCCTGTTCACRAGGCCTTGTGTCGACAGGGGACAACTGCTCTTAGTTTTGCTGTTGGTCTGTTGCAAGTTTGCCTCGGTCCTGCTGGCTGGTGTATGTGTCTCCACCTGCTTCCTTGAGTACCTCAGTACTTGTGTCCACTTGTGTGCTTTAATTTGCAGGCTTAATGCTTTGATGTGCCTAATTGAGTGGGTAGTGGTGATCCTTAATCTTTCCCATCCTCCTTGTTTTTGTGGATTTGTTTGTGGTTGTCTGTCTTCCAGCCTGTTGTAGGATCAGGTGTTTCTAATTTATTCTTAGATTCTTAATTCTAAGATTAGAAGTTAAGGGTGTGGGTTTTTTTGTTTCYTAAAAGCACTTGGCAAAGCTGGAAAGCCTTATGATAGACATCAATAAAGGCATATATCAAACTTAGGACATGCTGCTATGAGACTCAGCTCTTGGGCTGAGATAGGTGAGGTTGGAAAGTGGCATTTTTAAGTCAAACGTTTCTCCTGAATGTACTTAAATGCTTTTGGGAAGGGACGGAGCTAGGTCTGGAATGGAGGGCAGGATCTGTGGCTGTGTCAGGAGGCCTGGCCTAGCCTGGGCAGCCGGTGCTGTGGCCTGGCTCCTGGTCCTATCTGCAATTCCCAGATAACTCTTGTCTACTAATCATCTCTTGACAGGAGTGCCCCCAGGTCTGCCCTGCTTTGCTCCCAGTTTATGCTTTGTCAGCATGAGTGTAGCTGTTTACTCACTATCCTGTATGAATCCTGGAGGAAAATCGCAYGCTGGTGTCTTTGCAAGTCACAATCAGTATGGCTTAGCCTGTGGTTGGAGATGCTGAAGCCTGAACAATTTTTAGGTAGAAGTTTCTCATCAACCCACAGAATCTCAGGAGAAAAATCTTTTTAAAAACAGTTTAAAGCATGTTTTTTCCTACATTGTAATGCCTTCTAGTTTGCGTTAAGCCACAAATTTAAAAAGACCCCAAACCCATGTGTAGGAAGAGGAAAGCAGTTATGGTACTGGTGGTCTGCTAAAATTTTTAAAAATAATATRTTTTTACTAAACTGCAACTAGTGCTTGTGCAATAATGGTATTTCAGGATTTCTAACACAGAAGTGACTGTTTATTCCATGATATTTTTAGTAGTAGTCCTCTGTTAAGCAAGGCAGGAAATATATGTCTATTTCTAAGCAAMTAGACTGTCAGTGATACTGCTGGCAGGAGAGCTGACGTGAAGCTCAAATAAGAGTGGTGTTATTTGCACAGACTGCAGGTAAACAGAAATAATTCAGTAACTCTCCAAACTGTGTACTGACAGTCTCTATTATAGGATGAACTGACTTTTTTGTCTGGTATTGCAGTATATATGTGAAGGTCAAGTGAATTATGTTATCAGTGCTGTTTCTGGATTATGAGGCACTTGGTGCCTCAGTTCACACGTCAGTCTTGGACTACCTAAGCAAGATCTCGTTTCCCATCACTAGGGGATTTACCACKTGCCCTTTGAATTTGAAAGGTATTCTCTGTCTTTGGAACTTGAGGCCTGAGTGGGTGAGATCTTCTGTTTCGAAAGAAGAGATTTCTCCCTGAAATTGAATCCCTCCCTGAAATTGAATCCTGGAAGATGTTAGGGGAAGCATGGGACGATCAGAAGCAGAGGGGTTGCAAGGAGGAAAATAAGTGCCAAGACCACCTTCTTGCATTGCTTCCTGGACATGCATGTTACTGTGCAGACTGGGCTGCTCTTGACCTGCAGGTTACATGTATGAAAGACAGTCCTTGCTGTCTGAAGCCCTTCAGTGTCCGGAGGTCCCCTGTTCAGTCCTGAGGCCTGGGCTCTCCATGGGCCACGTGCTACTTGATCTCTTCTAGCTTGGGATAGTCTAAACAACTTAGGATGCTCTAACTTGTAAGGGGCTTCTTTGGCTTCCAGTGCTGGCTGAACAGAATATTAATATCTGTTTAACTGCAACTCTTTATTTTTAAAACTTTCTATAGCTTTAATTCTATTAAAGAAATAGGCAAACGAATTGCTTATTATTAGCTCTTTAACATGCTACTCTAAAARGCTACTCTGAAACGGAGTGTAGCACTGCATGTGTATTTTTTCCCTTTCCTATACTAAATTTTTCCAATTTTTAATCATGAAAAATAAATGAGAAGAGCCTGTACTCTGGATTTAGGAGTGGGCCAGGAGCCCCCAGACATAAGTAGGTCTGGGGGACTTACTCATGAGATGCCTGTAGGTCACGGGTTCAAATGGAGCCTGATCACAGTCTAGGATCGTCTTTTGCTGCAGCTGTTTGGTCCTATAAGCAGAGTTCATTCAAACACAGATTAGTTGCTTTCTAGGATACAGCACTGCTGACAACTGCTGTTGTGTTTGATATTTTCTTTCTGTATTGGAAAAGAATTAATGTCAGACTTTAAAAGTTATTTATATCTGAAAGTCTGTAGGACTGTCCTTGAGTCTAGCTGTCTAGCTGTTATTTCCTGTACATACGTTGAACTCTCTTTGCCTTCTGGAAGATTCTACTTAAGGGGGAAAAGTATTATTGATCAGATCTGACAACTTTTTTCAAGTTTTGGGGGTTTGAGACTTTTCTATTTCAACAAAATAGCTGCTAATTATTTTTCTGTGATTGTTGAGATCAAAYGCAAGCTCTGTTGCTTCAGAGAAGTGAATGAGGACCCTTTGAATTTAGTAGGGATTGTGTTTGTGCAGTTGTTAGTGGATTTCAGAGTGTGTGGTTAATAGTGTTAGTGAATGGCCTAGATTAACTCTTCAGAGGAGAAGGTGGCGGCTGCGAGGGGAGAGGAAGGACCAATTTAAATAAAGATATTTGGCCAGGAGAAAAAAGAATCTTCTGGTTTTGACAAAGACTCAAGGAAAGCTTGAGGAAGGTAATGGTAAGATTGAAGAAAATCTGGGGCTAAYGTCAGCATTTACACTAGCAGATTTGATGTTTTTCCCTCAGGCCTTTCATGATCACACTCAAGCAGATAGCAGTGCAGATTATTAGTAAATAGGTTATGGACGAGCACCTGAGCAACCCTCAGAGCAAAGCTGCTCAAGGCAGCCTGTCCTGGCAGTGCTCTCTGCCAGCTGGCTGCGAGCAGCTGTATTGGCAGCAAGAACTGGGCTCTGCTTTCCTGCAGAAAYGAGAGGCAGAGGGGAGCAAAACGTGCAGGTCACCCGGGTGGCCCCTCAGAAAGGTCCCTTGTCTGCCTGGACTCAGCTCCAGGGTTCTGTATTTGTAGCCGGGTCTTCCTGTAATGGGCAGAGACCGGGAAATACTCAGAGAATCAGTATGTTCATAGTGGCTCTGTGCCCAAAATAGAATTTTGAAAATAGCTCAAGATGTCTTCATGAGTGTTTTATTAAATTGTTTTGACTCACTGTGGTTTTTACCAGCTTCCTGAGGCTTGATATGCGCATGAATCTGKCTTATTGATAAGGAATGTTGACATCTCCCTTGTGGTCAGGCGCACACTAAGCATTCAAAAGAAGTTAAATTTTACCATAAGGAGTTAAATATTTGAGATAYTAAGCAATCTTTCAGAACTGATTTGAACATCATGTACTGAAGTTTGGGCATCTTTGCTACATTGGGAAATGTTATCTGTTTAAATTTTCACTCTTATGGCATTAGCAAAGACTGCCTTAATGGCTTTGATTTGAGAACAGTAACTCCTGCATTGTCATGCCTGCACCAGTTGCTGCTTCACCTTTTACCATTTGACAATGAATAATAATTTTAATAATACTCTAATAATAAATTTCTTAGCAGTTTAGAATGTGGCATTTTTCCCCTTTGCAGATGTGGAGGTACTGTTGGTGCAATTCTGACATGTCCGCTAGAAGTTGTGAAAACAAGGCTGCAGTCCTCCTCTGTGACTCTCTACATCTCTGAAGTCCATCTCAACACTGTGAGCGGTGCTACCGTCAACCGAGTAACTAGAGTTTCTCCTGGACCTCTCCATTGTTTGAAGTAAGTCGCACACTGCTCGCTGGGGAATGAGGGGGAAGGTTTAAGCAAAATGAATATGAGAGGGTCAGACTCTCTCCATGATGTTAATGATGTGACTTTCCATACTTTCCCTTAGAAACTGTAATTAAATTGTGTATTCTGGTCTTCCACATGTCCTTCATGCTTGAAGGACCTGGAATTAACCAGAGGATACTTAACCTGTAGACTTGATGGCTGCAGAATATGTCCCTGAACACGTACTGAAAGTTGTACAACACAAGTGTCAGATTGCTTGTTATCCTGTTGTAAGTATGGGGTATATTTTGATCACTACCTAAAAGGGTAGGGCTGCTATTGTTGCCAGGTTTAACAGAAATCAAACTGCATCTCCTGTCACTCCATCATGCCCTCACTTCCACTTGCACTTGTCTGGATTGCAGGTGTCAAGGTTTAGTAGTTTTCTCACACCTGGTTTTCTCACACCAGGGAGTGGTGCTGCTCCAAAGTGTTCAGGGGTGAGCTCACCATATTTAGAGTCTAAAAGCAGAGATACTTGGGCAAATGACGTTAGAAGTTGATTTAACTCCTGCAGACTCACTCTTGGCCTGACTGAGTGTCAACAGAGGTGACTGCAAAAGCATCTTGTGTCAGGAAACACTCAGAAGGGCCAGAAGAGATGACTGGAGCCTCTGGCAATGGAACTGGAGTCTCTTTATTCCTAAATGATCTGCTGGGTGTTTCGTATTGCTGCTGCCTGCCATATCTGCCCTTGCTAAACTTAAATCAGAGGTCTTGAATAATGGAAATCTGTCTGACCTAGCAGTAGACTTCCCCATGTGACACAGGCAGGTCACTTAGGGCCACATGGAACATTTGTGCTGCCTTTCCAACCACGGACTTGCCATTTACCTCTTTCAGCAAACTCTGCAGATGCTTAGGATTTGCATTTCAATGCAAAGAGTTGTTTTATTTTCAGGGTAGACTGATGTTCTTCTGCCTTGTGTCTGTGAATACAGAAGAGTAACAGTAACTGCCAGGACTATAGTCCTGTCTGTCCATTGTCAAGAACTTGACTGGCTTCTCTGGTTGCTCTTACAAGTCTAATCTTAGAGGAGTGGGAGAAAACAGACCTGATGCTGTTCTTGCCTTCTGTGCATGTGCCTATTCTATGTGTCTACATCTGCAACACTTAATTGTGACACTAGTCATGTTAAGGCAGTTTTGTTGTGTGTGGGCACATTAATATAAAGGTGTTTCTATACCAGCAATATTTATATTTCAGAAGGAAAAATTTATGCCTTTCTTAATTAGTTTAGTAGAATGGCTAACTTTTGCAGAAAACTCTACCCGTAATCTAGATTTCCTACAACAATTCCTGGAGAAGCTTTTCTGCTTTATGGAAGAATTTCTTTTTTTAAATACCTTTTGAAACGAAAGGAGAGAAAAATATGATTATCCAGAGAAATGACTACTTATTTGTGTGGGTACGTTTTAAAGCTTTTTGGGTTTTCTTTATATTATACCTGATAAAATTTGCAGAGCAGATTATATGCAATAGAAATYGCTTTTGTCTGGCCCAGGACTCTACTTGCCATTCTCTGACAAGATGTCTTAGGGCAAAAAAAGCCCTTTTTTATAAGTAGGGCTTTCAGCAACACTCACTGGTAGGAGTTKCAAAATAAAGACATGGAGTTCTGCCAGAGTTTTTGCCAGAAYTCTCTTGTGGATCTTCTGGTATTTCCTGATGAGATTGCTGTCCAAATCACCAAAGTGGCAAAGGTGATTCTACACTGATGCTGTGTGGTCATCTCTTCATTACTTTTGCCAAATGACTTAGTTGACAAACGCTGTTTTCTTCTGTATTGTTAAATGACTTAAACTGATCTGTCCTTCCTCTGAATTAATCCTAAACTGAGCCTAAGATGTGTGTTTYGCCACGAAAGCCTGACCTGAGTACGAATGCAAATTTTGACTCCAARTATTATATAAAATTATTCTCACTCTTAAACCCAGTTGCTTGGGAGGTAAGTGTTTCAAAACTTGCTGGGGTGCCTAAAACTCAGAACTTAAGCTATAAAATTACAGGTCTTTTTTCACTTCTGACTGTGCCCAAAGCCAATTTACCTTTTCCCGATCAAAAGGGGAAACACTTGCCTTTTCATAGTTGGTGTGTGGAAAGCCTATTTAAAATGTAAGTCCTATATGCAGGAGCTCTGTTCCTGATTTAAGAACACCAACAGTGGTGAAGGCTGCTGTATTGGTTATGTCAACATACTGTTTCAAGCTATATAGCTCCCTGCTTATACTGATTTGGTTCAGATTTACTGTAATGTGGCAGTGGAAACATGCAGAACCGTATGGGATCTAAGACTTTTGGAATATATCCTTCAGTAAGTTTTAGAATATTTTCAGCATAAGCTTAAACTAAATATTGGAGTTTCCAAGTGACTTTTCACATATGTGTTCTATCCTCCAGTTATTGCTGGGAACCAACTCTACCCACAAAGTAAAATCTGTCTAATTGTTATGGACACGAAGCCAGGGGGGTTGCTGGACCTGATCTGTGTTCTTGGTTCTGACCAGTGATGGTGACTGTTTCATGTCAAAATAGCTGCAAAGAACCAGTGTTTTATGGGGCTTACAAGCAAATATCTTTAACGTTTGGCTTGGCAGCAGAACTGTGGTGAAATAGATACTTTCAGGCATTGAAAATCAGAATAGATTTGGAATCTCCTTCGGGGCTATAAATARTTTTCAGCTGTTCTGAGAGTATATTCAATCCACGCAGCCATTTACACATCATTAAAGCTTGTGTTATTAGGTAATTGTCCTTAACCTGTGTGTCTCTTAAACAAATATTTTTTTCAGATAGCTTTATTGCATAGTGTTTCAAAATCAATGGTTTCTGTATTGCAACATCCAGTGGAGGAGTAAAGGATTACTTGAAATTGAGTCTATTTAGCAGCTTGCAATGATAGCGATGCAGAAGGTCCTTTCTTTTCTCCCACATCCTATTTATTTTATACTATAGCTGATTAGCATCTAAGTTGTTGGACAGAGGATATCTGTTAATGTCTGTTTCTAGTGGAAGTTATACCAAGACATTTTGCTATATACTGATACACAGCTTCATCTTTTTTAAAAATCATAGTTAATAGAACAGTATTTCAAACGCATTAGCAATGCCTGACTGAAATACTAATTCACTGCTTGCATCTGTCTGTGTTTAAATAAAGCGATACCCTCCTGTGCCAGGAAGATTCTTTCCATAGTTACGTTTATAGTGGACTCGGTTGCACGAGATGTTAGGGCTTTATTCTGACAAAGTGGTTTTTGCAGGGGTGGAGTCGCTTCTCSGTGAGGCCCAAGCTGCTTTGCCCAGAGCCTGTGTGCATGAGGAGGCCCAAGGCCTCCCTGTTGAACGGGCGTTTTCCTTAACTCTCTGGGGGCAGATAACCTTGTTCCTGATTCTTGAGGAAAGTCCATACTTAGAGCATAGGCTTTACTTTGACCTTTAATTCCTGAATCTGTGCAGCTTATCAAGCAATAATGTAGTTAGATTTTATTCTGTACAGCCTCTAGGAAGTTGTTTGTGCTTTTGTGGTCAGCTCTGCATTGTCAGTTATTAACTTYTATGTATACAGAGAGTAAAACTTAAAATGCTGAATTTGTCATACTGCTTAATTTTGATGTGAATGTTAAAGCACTGTCCTTTTTTGCATTCTAGGATGATCTTGCAAAAGGAAGGTCCCCGTTCCCTCTTTAGAGGGCTGGGTCCTAATTTGGTTGGTGTTGCTCCTTCCAGGTAAATACAAACAGATGGTCGGAAGTGAAATAACTCAGAAATGATGGTTGCCTGATGTTATTCAAGAGCCTGAGTGTTTATTTCAATGAGTTATTGCACCCACAGTGTAAGTGCGTAGTAGTGAGTAGTCTCTGTTTCCAGGGTAATTTTGATATCTGAGAAACAAATAGAGCTGCTCGTGTACTCTGCAGATCCCATCTACATCCCCCTGCCTGCTGGCTCTGAAATGGCTAATACCAGGAATTTGCACACTGTAAGCAATGCAGCCTTGCCTGGTTAGAGACAAACAAGATGAAAAATTGCATGTGYTAATAAGCTTGTGCCTTTGAAAATACAAGGACAGCCTTGGTGTGATCCTCCTATAGGGGAGCAATTGCACAAATATAGCCTCAAAACACCATTTCCTGAATTCTGCTGCAGCACAGGCTGCTGACCATCTGCACTAGGAAGGCTGGTTTGAAATGCCAAAGAAGTACAGGTACAGTGAGGCATCTACAGGTGTCACAGATAAAGCAAATCCAGCCCTGGGCTGGACTCAAAGGGTAGTGGGGCAGCCCAGGGTATGGAGCGGCCCAGCACAGAGATCTGGGCTTGCTGGCAGTGGCACTGCTGCTCTCCCTATACAACCAAAACCGTATCAAGCTAGTGCAACTATTTTTCATAGATGAGGCTATGATATATTTTGTCCCAATTTTGTAGTAATTTTTTCTGTTTAAGTGTTCTTGTGGAGGGAGAATAGATTCCTCAGAGTAACTATTCTGCCCTTTATTTCAGTGCCTTACTTTCATTTTATTTTATTTTATTTTATTTTAAGCTTTCTGATTTAAAGCTTTACTCTTCTGAAAAACATTGATTAAATTAGACTTTCTATATAGTACTGATTGTCTTGTATACAAATCTGACATGAAGAAAACATCTGTAGACCTTCAACATGATTCAGCACAAAAGCATTGTTCAAAACTTGGTCTTTAGAATAGACATTCTAAGGAATTAGATGTTTTGGAGGTAACTTCTGGTCACTAATTTAACATCACTGTTAAGAGGCAGCYGAAGAAAATTCTGCCATCTGTTTCTTGATCCCTGTAGTTGTCTTTTGCTGCTTAACTTTCCTTTGGCTTTTAAGCTGAAATTCTGACTAGTTTCACTGATATTCTTAATTCACAATGGAATCAGTCTTATTTGGCTATCAAGCAGTTAGCTGTCTTGAGATAAAAAGCAGCATTTTAAAGAGAAATATGATAGAGGGAGTTCCCTCTGAGCACTCTGTGCCAATGCTCTAACATAACTTCTTTTGAGTCTYTAAAGGACTTTTTAATGTGAAATATGGTTTTGTGTGCATCTGTTTGACACATTTAAAATAGATCACGCATTCACTTCAGAAAAGCTGTGCGTGTGTCCTGAYAGGAGCCCTGCAGGGTGGCTGCCAAGCTCGTGCTGTGCCCTGCTGGCTGCGGGCCCTGTCCGCCACCGGTGCCACCCGAYGCAGTGCTGACCCTGTGCCAGCATCTGCTCGCGGGCAGCAAGGGAAGTGCTGTCATCTCTTCCTGCTCGGCTTGCTGTGCCCTTAGCTTCCACTTCACARAATCACAGAGTGGTGAAGGTTGGAAGGGACCTCTAGAGATCACCTAGTCCAACCCCCTGCTCCAACAGGGACACCCAGGGCATGTGGCACAGCGTGGCATCCAGGTGAGTTTGGGAGATTTCCAGAAAAGGAGACTCTGCAACCTGCCAGGACAGGGGGAGCCTCTCCTTTGGCTGCCTGTTCCATGGCTCTGTCACCCTCACAGTGAWGTTCTCATGGAGATGGAACTGCCTGTGTTTCAATTGGTACCCATTGCCCCTTGTCCTTTCACTGATCACCACCTGCTTCACCACCACTTACACCTGCTCTGCACTAGAAAAGTGTGCACATGTAAACATGTGCATCCAATCCTGTTCTGCTACTTCTCACTCTCTCCATTGATRGGAGGAAGCTAGTTTTCCTTCTAATTTATCAGTCCTTAAAGGCTAGATTAATCACTCTACCATCATTCTGTAGGAACTAAGTTCTYGGACCTTAGCACTTAGCTGCTTTTTTCCCCCCCTTTCCTCTTTAGCATTTTTTTTTAAATTTTTTTTCTATTGGCAAAAACTTAAAGTGCAGTGCAACATTCTCAGTGCCCAAGACTTTRTATAGCAGTGAAGTTTGCTTTGTTAGTGGCTGTATCCGTGATGTTCATGTAGAAGCAGCTGTAGCTCCGTCTGGAAAGTTTCCTGTTTATTTKCCTCTTCCAGTTTACTTCCTTTCTGCCACCAGGTAAAATGTTTAGTTTGTGGGGATTRGAATATTTGTTGTTTTTTGTCCATACTAAAAATGTGTACTTGCTGTGATGTGAGAAGCCTTAATATCAGCACATCCCTCCCTCTCTTCCTGTGCACTCAGTCTTCATTCAGTGCTTCATTTCAATTAAGCATTAGCTAAGTGGATTTAACAGCAGCTCTTTGTTTAAATAAGCCAGGAAGAAGCTTATTTCATAACACATGCAGTATACTTAACTGGGCTCAGGTCCCATTTTAGAAATCATGCCCATGAATCAAGCACTTTATCTTTTTTTATTATAAAGAAACATGTTTGCAGAACTAATGAGGTTAATGTTCTGTTCATGAAAACTCGTGTTCAATTTTTTTCTGTAGACTCTCACTTAAACAGAAATCTGAGTTACGAGAACGTCAGCTCTGTGCATACTTACATCAGGTTTATAGTCTTAGTGAGCTTGTCGTAATATTATATTAACATGTTAACTCTTATATCTAACTTTTATATCAGTGTACATAGTTTAATGTAGTACAAAGTTATAAATATTTCTCTTATGTTCATCTATTCTGAATATGGAACTAAGGAAACAAGCAACAAATCTCATTTAGATATGGACTTGTGCCATTTTAGTAAAATGAAATGTATATTGGCGTACTTGCTGGTGTTCTAACAGCATCATCTTGCTTCAGTAGCTTTACATTCCAAGAAAAAAAGCTAATCTTTCGAAGAGACGCACAGTTGTAACTTCAGTTCTCAGTTCAATACTTTACTTCCTAAGCCAAATTCCTAGTGTCACAGGAATTTGATACAGCCATGTATCATACAGCTGTGTATTCCATACCTCTCCAGGTGTTAATTAGCTCTGTTGAGGAAGAARAAGCTGTAAAATGCATTCACTCTTTCATTCCTCCAATGTTTGTAGAATCATAGAATCCTTAAGGTTGGAAACAACTTTTAGAGATCATCTAGTCCAACCGCCCTGCCCGTACAGGATCACTAGAGCATGTGGCACAGGTTTGCATCCCATGTTCACAATTTTGATAAGAACTATTCCTTGAGTTGCCTTTCACTCAGGAGATAAGGTGTTGAACAAGATCAATTTGAGTTACTGAAGCCAGTAGTGCATCGAAGCATAAAACACGACATAACTCAGTTCTTGTTCTCATTTTAGAGCGATCTATTTTGCTGCTTACTCAAACTGCAAGGAGAAGTTGAACAATATATTCAATCCAGATTCTACCCAGGTACACATGATTTCAGCTGGTGTGGCAGGTAAGGATCTGTAACTTTTCAGCTTCTTCATTCTAGAGACCTACTGATAAAAATGAGGTGGCAATAAACTTGGAAAAAATGCTCAGTAATGGAATGACTTCTGGCTGTAGTAGTTGGGGTTTTTGGCCTCCTGATAGACACACAAGCCATTTGGACAGTGTGCGCTTGGAAGTTTGCACTTAAGATGTTAAGTCGTCTATATGTGAATACTGTTTTCTAGGAAAAACTWCATGCCTACTTCCTTAATATATTTTGTGAAATGTAAGATGAATGCTTTCAACACAGTATTTTTGCTCTGCCAGCTAAAAATTATATTTTCTGCATTGAAGAAAATGCTTAATGCTTTTAATATATTGTTTTCACCTTTGTTTTATCTGTTACAGCTTGTGTGTTTGACTTTTTTTGTCTTTTGGAGATATACTTTAGACACTTGCAGGTTTGTTTAAAGAATGCACACACCCTGTGCTCAGATACTGGTTGAATTAGTTCTACTATTAATACAGCATAAAAGAAATTCTTTGGAGTAATCTCTTATCACTRGGAATTAATTTCTGCTTTAGTCTGCAGTATAGTTTGTCTATATTAGCGATTACCAGTCTTTGCCTGGTGWGTGATTCATTGCATTGGGATTGTAAACAAGGGGTTAAAGAGAGGCTTGAGTTCCCGTAACAGACTTGTGCTGGCAATTGTTTGCCTGTTATTGCCAGCAACAAAAATACAACATCAATATATTTTTCTTTTGTGTATCTAGGCCATAGATTTTATGGGTGCATTTTGACAGTATTATAGTAGCCTGTTGAACTTTCCAATTCATAACAAATTTCTACACCCATTGAATGTAACTTGAGCACTGGTAATATCGAAAGATCTGCTACTGCTGAGGGGATGCACTGCAGCAGCCTTGTCCAAGTGCCTGAAGTCACATTTCTAGTTTATCAGAGAGTTCTGTAGGTGCATGTTGACTTGCTTCCCTTCCAGAAAAGATTGTGATTAAATATCTGCATTTATGAACACTGGAGACTGGGGTACATGTCTCACTCTTACTTGCTGTTTACTTTTTTTACACTGTATATTGGCTGTAATGTTGAACACTTCTGTGGCTGTATGTTTCTTATACCTATTTAGTTTTGCAGTTGTGTGCATAAACCGTGTGGCTGGTGCAGCTGAATGCAAGTTCACACTACAGGTCACTGTTTTCTTTCTCTCTCAAAATAGTTTAGTGCTGGGTAATCCAGACCTTGCCTGGAAGCCTGTGGCAGAGGCTCTTTGACAAGCCATGTTCTAAGGACTGCCACTTGCCTGATTGACRAGCAAAGGGCTGTAGTTTTCAAGTTAACAGTGCTTTTGGGAAAGTGCTAACCTTCTTGTTTTTAATTCTGTATGTACTTATATGTATTTCAGAAGAGAGTTTTGCCTGTAAGGTTTGTATTGCTATGTGGTGCAAATGAAGGAAATGGCAGAATCCAGGGACAAGCTCTAATATGAGCTCTTAATGGGCTCAGTTAAACAGGCTAACAGAGAAGCTAGTGGTAATGTGTTTTGGAACTTAAACAACTTTATCTTGGCAAGGTGAATGAAGGCTTCTAGCAACTAGTAAAAATAACCAGTATTGGTTTTTATCTTTTGCAGCTGCCAGTGGTTTCAGTAAGGAACTTGCTCTCAAATGACAGGGGGTTTTGTTTAAATATGACCTTACTCTCCTATATAAAGATGTCTGTTATCAAGAGGAGGTGGTTGTGCTATAAAATCTTTCCCTGTGGATTTCAAAATACAATAATGATACAAAAAAATTTAAAACTTTATATAAAGTATCCATATTTTTAGATCATGTTGTTGTATGGAAGTACTGTAAGTAGTCAACCTGAAAAACAGTSTTTGCTTGTATCGTGTTAATGCATGAGTGTCTATGGCTAGACTAACTTTGTTGTTAATATGGATTATTTTATGCATATAGTAGTTCTTGGAGCAAGAAGCGGAGGTACTGTATTTTATAGTTCTGTCAATGAAGTACTGTGTTGATAGTTCAAGTTTTGAGTGCAATTTAAGCCTTTCTTGTTTGTTCTTGGGCCTGATTTTTTCCTTCTCAAGATAAAGCATGCTTGTTGGGTTTATAACAATTTTGAACCTTTTATCCTGAGAAGGATCAGTCATGCTGCATACTAGTAACTGATGCCTTATGATGCAACTGATGGAATTAGAAATTAATGTAACTGTGCTGTGTGCTAGCTTCCAGAATATGATTCACACCACTTTTATTCTTTAAAATACCCATGTGCCAGCATGAAGATATACTCAGCAATACTTCTCACTTGCCATCTAGCATATCACATGATTCCTTTTGCAAACTTGGACATGGAATAGATCGGAAACCTTCTGCTCTAAGGACAGGGAGAATACTTGCCTGTATAAAGATGACTTATCTCCTCAACTCCAAAGTTATGCAAAATTCTCTGATTTGCTTTAAACTCTGCCTTCCTATTACACTTACTTAACCTCTTTTACCTCAACAAAGGGTAAAAGCTCACATGGCGACCTAAATGAGGTGCTTGTTTCCTGTATGGTTTTGTAGTTTGCCTTTTTTTTAACGATTCATAGTTTTATTTGGACAATGTAGTTGCAAATCTGTCACTATGAAAGTGCTTTGCTTATTATAACATTCCCAGTCTTTCTGGAACTCCGACTGGCAAACCAACCCAAGTGTAAATTTGATTTGGGACAACTCTATTTGCAGAGACACCATGTTTTTTATACCTGTCAGTAATATACACAATTATCTTGGCAAATACCAAATAGAGAGTAYTTAGTTCATCCACTATTCATACTAGACAGCTTGATTTCATAAGGCATCTTACTGTACTTTCAGAGTCCTTTGACAAGTTATCATTCTTTTTAATTAATTTGGGGGATGGGGAAGGAGGAGAGTTCATTTATAAATTTGATTTGTAAATATTGAGTTGATAGGTAAGTATTGAGCTGTAAAATTGAACTGCTGCAAATGGGCAGAAATTTCAGTACTCAGTGCATTTTACACAACTATTTTATCTGTGGCCTGTGTTGATTATTTTTCTTTCTTTTTTTCCTAAACTTTTACCTGAAAAAAAGTTAGATCTCACAATAACTCACAAATCCTTCCAGTGGGATTCAATTTGTACACATGTGTCTGATGAGGTCACTGCTTGTTGTTATGATACAGAAAAGCCTGTGTCTATTTTAGGCATTTACTGTACATTTCTCCCGTGAAAAGAGTGAGATCGTGTCATCTCATGCTCCCCATCCGCAGGTCACTTCCTGCAGAAATATGGACTAACTTAAACCTCGTGAGTACTGAACTGAGCGTCTCTTGCAGCCTCTAGTGTAAGAACCACACCTTGGGTTTGTAATATCTATTAAACAAAATATGGGGAATTCACTTCTCATTACCTTGAACTCAAATTGTGCAAAGACATGGTTCTCTTGAACTCTTACCAAGAGTTAAGTGTTTCAGTGCAGGTCAGGGAAAGGCGGAAAGCACCTTTCACTGATGGCTGCTACTTGTATTTAGCTCTGCTAATTGAAGGTCCAGAATCGGGTTAAACCAGGCCTCTATTTTTTCAGAGCTGCATTTAAAATGCTGCAGCTGAATTCTGTGGTGTCACATTGTTTCCAAAAACTTTTTTKTTSTTCTTTGTCTCTTTATTTTTTTCCCCAAATGTGTATAGTCTCCCTTCTGTCTGTTTTCTCTTTTAGTTTGTTTTTAATTTACTACTTTGGATTTCTAATTCAACATTCCATGTTCATATGTGTCTGTATCAGTGACATTGGCTTATAGATTAAAAAACTAACCTTTGAAATGTGATGCACAATAGGAATACCTGGGATCTTACCTGTCACTAGCTGGTAGAGCCCAACAGATTGAGAAATTTCAGTCTGGAACTTGAATACAGTTTTGTAGGAAGAATTAGAATATAGAGACAAATAGAGAAACTTCTGGTATTGTCAGCTTGACTTGCACTCCTAATGAATTTGCAGTCTTAAATCTTACCTGGTTCATAAACATCAGTGAGATGAACATAATAGTGGGATAAGAGGAAAACATTGGGTAGAGAGGAGTAGACCTGCATAGTAGATGAAAGCCAGACCTGCTCATTTTGTTTTAACCAGTGACTTCAGAGAAAATCTATAGCAAAAAAGAAAGCTTATCTTATCAAAGAGATCCCAGCACTTGAGGTATTTTGTGTTCAGATGCCTCCCTTTAGTTCAGCGCGGTGTTCAACTCTTACAGTAAGTAGAAAAAGCAGAATACAGTATTGCCTGTGAGAACTGAGCTACAGTGATCTCATCTTGGACACCTGAATTATTGAAGACTCTCTGATTTGAAAGCTTTGGTCCAAACTGTTCTGCTGTTGAGGCTTAAAATAGCCTTAAGATGAGGGAAGAGAGAGAAAAAAGAAAAGAAAAAAAAAAAACCCTTATGATGCTGTGGTCCTACTGTTATGAGAGCTGTGCTTAAACTATGTTTGAAGCAGCCCAGGGAGTGCAAGTTTAGGTGAGATGTTTCCTGTGCCAACCAACATTGGCTGCARATTCTGGTTTCTGCATAGAAATATCCTGCATTTACTCTAGGAAGACATAGTAGCCTCTGGTCACACATGTTCTATTATGAGTTTAGGATGTACAGAGACAAATCTGTGCCAAATAGGAAAGAGAAAGGACTGAGCAAAGAAACAGTTGCATAAAATGTAGCTTAGCAAATAAAATTCCTTAGCAGGAAGGTTGGACTAGATGATCTCTAGAGGTCCCTTCCAACCTTAAATATTCTGTGATTCTGTGAAATTCTAAAGACCTTTAACTTAGATGGAAATCTAAATRATTTTGGTCTTGTAGGCAGACTCATTAAAGGTTTGTAGACATCTCTAGATGTTACCTGGTAGGCAAAAATTATTTTTCCCCACTTCATTTCAATGTATTTGTTGCAGTCCTGTGCATATTACATTTTATTGCGATCTACGTCTGGRAAGATTCTGTTTTGAGGTGTAGAAAGAAAGACTGAAACTTTGGTAGTGTTTGTATAAGGAAATGTAGACATGCAGGAAAGCTTTCTTTCCCTTGGCATGACACAGGGCTCAGCGCTGCTGCAGCTGGGGTGTGTGGCACAAGCTGCCTGTGCAGCTCGACTGCAGATCCTCTGTGCAGGTGACGTTTGCCCTGTTGCTTTGAGCTTTTGCACAGTYGTTTGCCTTCAAGAAATGTCCCATTTTCAAAGGAAAACTTTAACTCTCTGTTTATGATCTACTGARTGAGTGACCTCACGTGAAGTTATTTAGTTGAGTCAGTAAAAAGAAATTTGCGTTTAATAAAAGATTAATGGAATAGTTAAGAGTCATTCTTGCTATTTTGGCACAGAAATGCAGTCAAATCTTAGTCGCTGCTTACAGGTAGTCTTCAGAACTGTAACTGGAAATCCTAATGAACTATTTTCAAGACTTTGAGGGGGAGGCACCTAGACCTTAACACAGTTAAGATCCTGTGGCATTTCTGAGTGCTGCAGTCATTTGTGTACAACGTAAACGTAGACTGACTGAAGTAACCACTCCACGAGCAGTTCCGCTAAACAAACATATCTATTTACGTAGGCTGTTAAGGTTCTCAGTAAACCAGCTTCTCGAGAGCCTCCCGTGTGGGAGCGTTGCACAYGGCGGTGCCCCGAGCTCGGCGGCGTGTGCGGCTCCCCTCGAGCCCGGCAGCGGCGCAGCCYGTCTGCGCAGCGCCGGCCACGTGCTGTGTGTCACTTAGGAGCACAGGGTGTCTAAATTCACCATCTCTTGCCTGGCCATGTTCCAGTTCTTCCCTCTCCCTTTTCCCTCCTGCAGACATGTCACCTCATTAACGGTGCATGTGTGATATTACAACTCTAGATGTTTTTATTTTGTTTGATTTTTTTTTCCAGAGCTGCCTTTCACTCTTCTATCTCTCTCTCCCCCCACAGTTGTACAGAAGTAAGAGTGTTTCTTACTTCATTTTTCTTTCTGAATTTCCTTCCTTTTTTTTTTCTTCCCTCTTTTTTTTAAGTGGACTGAAAATCATAGCTTTAACTCTTAGCCTCGATGCAAGTCTGAGTAGTTGGTGTCTGTCTGGATAGTTAGAAGCCATGCTATTTATTTTAACAATTTAAGCACTCATATGCTTGTATAAGTATTCCTTGGCCACCCAACAACCTTTGCTTTGAATACTAAATAAAATATTAGCTCACAAATTTAATTTCTCTTTATTCCTAAGTATTGAAAGACATCTCTTAACTTACAGTAAAATATGCCTTTTACTACACCAAAAGTATTTATTAGGTTTGCATGTTTTTAAGCTCAGATTTTATTTCAGGTAGAAAATTTAATTGAGCCAATGTTTTTTATCTCTAATTACTATAGCTGTATTTGCAACATGCTTTCTTGAAATGTTTCCAAACTAATTAGCTAACATTAGTTTAGATAACTTTGCTGTTCTATGGTGTCCAAACAGGGTTGGTATGGATGGATAGGCAGGAAAACACACACATTTGGGCTCCTTTTATATGGGGAATTTCTTGCTAAGAATTAAGCATATTAGTTTTTTTTAAAGTTACATTAATATTTTCAAAGTTTATTGGCTGTATGGATTCTTGTAATACCAGTAAAGGGCTACAATGGGTGTTTTCTAAAAATCAGTATAGTCTGAGTTTTTGCATCAACTGTACCTTACTGTGTATGCTTAAACTTAGATGCAGTTGCTTTTATGGTGCTATCAYATCTAACTTCTCTTTTTAAATGTTTGTTCAGGTTTTACTGCCATCACAACCACCAATCCCATTTGGCTAGTAAAGACAMGGTTACAGCTCGATGCGAGGTAAGAAAGTTAAGAGAACTGACTAGTGACAACCACAAATCTTACTGCTGTGAGAAGACTTTACTTAGAATAATCTTCACATCTAAAGCTGGAATGTGTCTTTGCATAGTGTCTCAAATTACAAAGTTGGTACTGATCCTTAAGTTAAACTATCGTGGTTCTCTATTTTTGTCTCTGTTAAGGCATGCCTGAGTGCAATAATCTCTAACCAGCAAATTCTGAATGGAAGTCAGTTAATTCTCATTTATTTTTATACACTAATATGATTGAGAAAACACTATTTCCATTGTTTTGAGCTGTTGCCTGAGAAATTCCTGAAATAAGGGTTTTGATGTCGTAAAGTATCAGAAAAAATACCTGAAATATACTAGTTTTCATTTCTTTTACCCAGAAAGAGCTCCCTTTCTCTAAGAACGTGACTCTCRCTCATCTATATGTAGAAGTTGTCCTAGTATAGGATAGTCAATAGAAGTTGTTGGGATTCATTACAAAATCAATTATGGAAAGTGTTTTTCTTGCCTTATAATGGAGTGGAACTTTATACAAGTAGTCAGGGATCAACAGCTTCATTTAAAGCTTGGGAGACCCAAATATGTTGCAAGGATCTCAACTTTTTTTCAGATTCTCAACTGAATCTTTTTATATACCTTATTTTTGGAGTCTTGGTGTACCCTATTGGTCCTTTGAGTTGTACAACCTGTAATTGAAACTTTAGCTAAAAGCAATATGGAAATATATCAAATATTCAATTCAAAACATTAGGGCGCCTAATTACAGATGATGTAAAAAGAAGCATCATTTGAGTGGAGCAGTTAAAATCAGGATGCTTTTTAATTCCAGATAAAGACTGGAACTGCCCAATATTCTAACTGCCGAATATGCTAACTTCAAGATTTCTATTTCGAGGCTCTACTGGACCTTAATCACATAGTAATGTTCTTACTCTTAGCAGGCACAGTGAGCTCTAAGGTGACAGTAGATGCACCCCAGAACTAGTCTTACGGGACATCCTGTGACTAGGGTGAATCTGCAGCAACAGTGTCTCTGAAGCTGATGACATCTTATACTTTTTTCCATTCATTAATTTGCTTAAACTATGTGGTTAAGGGGAAGTTTGGGGGGTTCACATCCATATTACTCCTGTATGCAGCATCACACAGGTTATTCCTGTGGGACACTTGCAAAAGGAAACAGTTTTGGTCTTTGAGGGCAGGACAGTACAGCTATATGGGCTAGCCCAGCACTGCTTCCATGTCCTGCATGCATTAGAGGCACAAAACGGACCCCATTTCTGCTGAAGTTCTTAACTCCCACAGATCTCAGTAAGACGTGGAAGAAGGTAAGGTTTGTTCCCAAAGAGAAATTGCTTTGGGCTTCTAAGACAACACGGTGCATCTTACTCTTCAGAAGAGCAACTTCTTAAAGGGTCTGTGTGGGTAACCCTCCTGAGGCATGTGTGGRTTGCAGGTGCTCTTGGGAGCTGTAGCAACAGCTCCCGCTGCTGCTCTTTCCTGTTGTGCTTCTGCTCCGGTTTCTTGTCATGTCAGCAGTGTTGTCTGCTGCTTTGCAGCATCAGCTGCTTAGCTCAGTCCAGATCTGATTTGTGGCTATGTGCACGTTTGCTCCTCTTTTCTCTGAAATTCTGGCAGATTAAAACCATGAGGGCTTACATTCTGCYATCTAGTGATGCCTCCCTACTTGCACAATGGTGCTGTCTGCTTTGCTTTGATATATGTGTGATCTATGATAGTTTCTCCTAAGGCCAGATGCTGATTTATTTATTTGTTATTAGCTTCCCTGCTCAGATGAGACCTCTACTGGCAGCATCCAGGTATTTCAAGGGACTGTGCTCATGCTCCAATGAAGCACACKTTGTGCAATGCCTATGAGTTTTGTGCATTTGATGTTTTAAGTTTTTAAAGGTGTACAGTGCCCATGTGCTGGTAGATAGTGTCCAGTGTAATTTGAAAACTGCTCCTTTCATTAACATCAGATGCTAAAAATCAAGAGGCTGAGGAGGAAGCTTTTCACATTCGCATATGTAAAATGAGCATGAGGAGGACCGTGATAATGTAGTGAACGTATCCTTTGACATCAGTTATGGCTTAGTAGAATCAAATGAAAGTCACTCTTGTCATTGCTTTTTTTTGGGCCCCCTTCACACCAGACTTCCCAGGTCTTTCAGTAAGAGCTGTGTTGGCAYGTGACGCATGATACTTGAACTCATAGCTACCCCTTGGTTCATGAGCTTCCTAGCCACCTAATCCTTTGGGACCTTCAGGTTCTGTATTCTTAAACAGATCTGGATTGGAGCCTTTAGGCATCAGTGTGAGATGTTTCTCAAGTCTTCATGTCACTCAAGGAGGGATTTAAGTATTGTTCAGTCTCTGGTTACACCAATTTTATATTTTTTATTCTCTTTTTCAGGAATCGTGGAGAAAGGCGAATGAGTGCCTTTGAATGTGTCCAGAGAGTCTATCGATCAGATGGTATTAAAGGCTTTTACAGAGGAATGTCGGCATCATATGCAGGCATATCTGAGACTGTTATTCATTTTGTTATTTATGAGAGTATTAAGCGAAAACTACTGGAATATAAAACTGCTTCTGCCATGGACAATGTGGATGAATCATCAAAAGAAGCTTCGGACTTTGTTGGAATGATGATGGCAGCTGCCACTTCCAAAACGTGTGCCACATCAATAGCATATCCCCACGGTAAGTGGGATGTCTGAGGCCTGAATCAAAGCAGTCAACAGGAGTCTTTTCAGTGACTTCTAGCAGACTGTTAGTTCACTGGCTCAGGAGCTCATAAAGAGCTACTTCTTTGTCTGAATTTCCTGACTTTTGATTCAGCAAGTCAACAGGAGATCATAGTATTCAGAAATAAAAGTAGAAAATACTTTTAAATGGATTTTTAGTGTGGCCCCTTTTAGGTGCTTCCTTCCCCAGTACCACAAGGAACTTAGCAGAGTCTGCCTAAAATCCCTTAAGGTTACAGTAGTCTTTGACTTGGAATTTCTACCTACACTCAGCAGTGTCACAACTCTGCAGCCAATTTGTATCTTYCTTCTAAGAAAACTGTCAAGGTGTACTTGCTAGCATACTGCTCTTCATGATGATGACTTCCTTGGTTATCAGTTGTACTTAACATTCCAGTAAAGTGATTGTGTGCATGTATATTTTTGTTGTTGTTAGTAAGTTGAATACTTCACTGGTGGTGATATTCAAGCTAGAATATGAGCCCTGACATCTCTAGTCTTCTGGATCTTAACTGAGTTAATGACCTGTGCTTGTTCAGCAAAATACTTGGCTAAATTGGCTGAATGTTTAATGTGGTTCTTGTTCTTCTAGATGCTTGGTTTGCTTCTCTTCGTATATATTTTYGATTTCTGGAGCTTTGTGATACTGAGTACTTGAGGAGAGGATGATTTTTAAATTCATTAACTGCTCGTTGGAAGAGGAAAAGTAATGGTGAACATAATCACATGTGGTTYTCTTTATACAGAGGTTGTACGAACGAGGCTAAGAGAAGAGGGAACAAAATACAGATCTTTCTTCCAGACACTATCTTTGCTTGTGCGAGAAGAAGGGTATGGAGCCCTCTACCGAGGCTTAACTACACATCTGATCAGACAGATTCCAAACACAGCTATCATGATGTCAACCTATGAAGTGGTAGTCTACTTGCTGGATGGATAGCRGTGTCACAAGGCTTTCTAGAGGAAGGTGGAAGACCGAAAGACTCGAGTGGACTACCAGATGTCTATGCCGGTGTTGCGGGCGGAAGGAAAACTATCAGGAACGTGCAGCTATGGACAAAATAGAAGACTTATTGTGGGCAACTATGAATGATTGTACTGCTTTGTTGTATGGTCTCTTGGCAATGTGATAATGGGAGCTGCCCCACAGGGAATGCCTTTATACACCTCAATTCAGAATTGCATTTGCTTTGCATCTCAAGTTTAGACAAAGCCATTCAGTCAGCTTGAAGAGACCTGATGGATGAGCAGGAGGGTATAAAATATATTCTGGGGGCAGTCCTATTCCTTCTTGAAGTGATTGCTCTTCAATATACCTTTATTTTCTGTTTTACTGCACAGTAGCCTGTAGTTGGACGAAGGGGGAAGATCAGACTACATACCCATACTTTTCTATACATTATGAAACTTCACTTGCTCTGAAGATGCATATAGAGACTGAGGTAGTAGTCAGTGTGTGTAGCTTTTTCCATATTGCTACCTCAAGGTAAACTATGGTGCAGGGACCCAGAATCAAAGTGTTTCCTTGTTGCAAAAGGTGATTTCCTCCCCTCACCACCTTTGAAAGTTGAACAGTGTATTCTAGGCKAGTAGGAGAGAAGATACTGTTGTTGAACTCCTCAGGTTATTCATCTTTTAATATTGACGTATGTGGATTTCTAGTTCTGTTGCATCTCTTCATTTCCATCCCGCCCCGGCCCCCAAAGAACTTTCCTCCTTTTCTGAAAGTAAGAGATTCATGCAATATTTTCCATCATGAGTTTTCCTGCTGAGTCAGTCATACAACTATGGAAGAACTTGTTGAATGATGTTTAACAGTATCATTAGGGTTTTTCAGTATAATGATAAATCCTAACTAGTCCAGCCTAATGCTTGTGAAGACAAGTTTGACTTAGTTTCATGCTACCCAAGAAAAAGCTGCATTAGTCTGAAATTAGTTTTTGCAAAGCCTGACCTAGCCCACAAGTACTTGCCTTGGAGACCCGGGGAGGAAATCATATCACCATGGCTAAGACAACCAGAAAGCAGAGAACAGTTGGAGTTAAGACAGAGTTCTTCAGTGCAACCAGCCTTTGTTCAGAGTGTGGAGGAAATGGTAATAGCTTGGGTTTTTTTGTTTATTTGTCTTCCATAAGCATCCCCTTTTAAATTTCTGTATCACTTTGAATTTGAGCTTGTGTGCAGAACTGCAGCTGACAGTATAACCTTGTCCTCCAAATTGTCTGAATATTCAGGCATCATTCTATAAACTACTGGCAAAATAGCATTGCGTTCAGCAGCTAGGCTCGGCTGGCTTGTTCTCTCTTGTATAACTTTGTAGACAAACCKTCCATCTGTACCTTGCCTGCTTCTAAAACTGCATATGTGGTCCTTATGAGGAAGGTGACCATTATAAATCAGGGGCAATAGCTTTCTACACAAATGCTGCTACACTGAGGTGACAGAATGGTGCAGTTGGCTCTTCCAGTGTCATACCTGAGTGTACTTAACTGTGCAYTGTGTGCAATGGCTTTATCTTCTGAATGACTCCTTATGCACTTTGTGGCCTTCTTCTGCCTTGTGACTTTTCTTCCTCTTACTGGTTATTTATAGCCCAARCCTGTTCAATACATGCAGTTATGTTTTCAACGAAGCATGTGGTTTGGCTTACATKTAACCTGTGCAGGTTAAAGCGTTACATGCTGCAGATAGATAGGATCTCTGTTGCAGTAGTTCTCTAGGTCGTATGTAAAAGGCTCAGAGCATACAGAATGATCAGTATATTTTTCATTTCTCTTGTTATTTTTGATCCCATTGTGTCCTTGATAGGATGTCAAAGTATTTCAGTACTCTTCCTTGGAGAGCCACCTGCAGAAAGYCCAGCGCCCACTCTAGTGCCCTTGCAGGAGAGACAGAGCTGGATTGACTTGGCTTTGGGAGATGTCATCTCACCCCTTTAAAGGAAAAGGGATACCATGGTCTGATTTGCTCAGAGATGAACATGATATTTTAAACAAGCAAAAAGATTCTGTCRGTGTATCTTATAAAATGGGCTTTTTATTCCAATGATATCTCTAGAAAAAAAAATCCGCAGTGTTTCATATTCACAATTTTGTGTTTTTAGGTTTTCCTGTGGTACCATTTTTCCAATGGCTAAGTGCAGGAATAGCTGCTTACTGGAATACTAGTTTTGAAGCAAGGGGGTTCCTCTTTGGGTATCCAAGTGGTTCAGTGAGGATTAAACTTTCAACAGGCAAGAAAATGCAGGAGACATCATTAGTATTGGAAGTTGAGTACCATTCATACTTGGTTTCATGAGTTACTCATTTTTTTTGTGGATGTGCTCTGCCATGGTTGCACATACAGCTCCACACTTGCTGGGTACAGGTGTGGTCCTTGTCTGGGTGAGTATGGACTACCTGCAGTTCTTCCAAAATAAAGCTCTGATAAGGAAAATGTTAACTCCCTCACCCAGTTATCCTTGTTAACAGCCAGGAAGAGACAATCAGCTTTTTGTTCCTCACTTTCAATGGGAGTTCAGGCAATGTTTTAAGCTTCGGGGGTGATTTTTTTGGTGAGGGCGGGGAGAGGGAGATGTGGTGGGAGAATTTGTTTGCTTTATGTATCAAAACATAAGCCCAAAGTTTTTAGGATTTTTTGTCTTATTTTTAAATTAACAGTTAAAGTTACCTCTGAAATATTTCCCAAAGATCTTTATTTATATTTTTTTCTGATATTTATTATAAAATCTCAAAGGGAATAAGCGCAGATGCTATATTCAGTGATATCCTTAACCACAAAACAGAAAAAGGACACTTAAACTTCCTTGCAACTCAGATGGTCATCTCATTTTGTATGTTCATGTACTTCTTACATCACTCCTCAGTTGGAGGCCAAGGCCTCATATGTCCAAAGCCCTTCTCTGTGATGACTTTTTTTTCCCATGTGTCACTTGCTTAGATGAGGTTAAATCTCTGGTGAGCTGTTCATTTCAACCTGGCCCCAGCAGCTGTGCTGTGCAGGACTGCAGTTTTGGGCCTCTGTCAGAAGATGGCACTGGAGCCTGTCCCGATGGGAGGCTGGAGCTGTCCCTGCGGCCCCATGGGGCAGGATGCAGGGGCAGCCCAGGCTGCTGGGCAGGATGCAGGGGCAGCCCAGGCTGCTGTGGGGGCACAGATGGCACCGCTGCCCCGGTGCTGCCGCGGGGAAGCAGGTGAGTCCTGGGCAGCGCTGTGAGGTCTCTCTCCGTCTGCTCTTGCTCTCTGCTGGCGGAGGTTGTTTCCAGGAGGTTTACACTAAAGGTTTATAGAAACTTGTGTTGTTGTGCTAATTGCAAACATTGGAAACATAACCTCTCCACTTGTATATTGACACTGCACCTATGTAGTTTCCTGTTTACATAATGCACTCCATACATTTCCTTTCTAATGGAGGTGGTGTTTGGTAATGACCGGTTCTGCTATACTGTTTTTGTTCTTTATAATTACCTTTTTAACATTCCTTAGAGTGTAGCTTTTTAAAGGAATGCTTCCAGAGAAAAAGATTGGAGATCCTTTCTAAATGTTGCTTCCTGATTAAACTATGTTTAAATTCAGAAAACAAGCTGAAAACTGAAGTGTGCCTCAGTAAGTGTAACTTTTTAAATCTTCTGTCTGTAAAGACTTAGTCACGTAAGTTTTCATTTCTTCTATTTAAGAGTCTGCCTACCCTGCATATGTGAACTTAATTATCCCCTAGGAGCACTCACAGATCTCAGTTTGAGTGCAGTTCAATGCATATGTGAGGTTGGCTATTATTCTTGCATATGTGTAATTGGCTGTAAACTATGTGCATTTACTCTGTATTTATATAGCAAATTATGTTTGAATTATTTTAAATTTAAAAGCAAATTAAAATCATATGCTTCTATTAAAATGTTGCTTTCTGTGCTAAACTGTACATTATTTCTTAACCTTTTAACTTTTGATATATCCGTGCCTGGACAGTAGTGGTTAAAAATAAGAAACTCATTAGGAGATCCCTGTGAATGTTTTTATCATGTGTCACTTGAAAGTAGCTGAAAATGGTTTCTGTGCTTCATGAGCAGTATGTTCTTGATTCAGTTTCATGGATGGCTTAAATCAGATATTTCCTGCAGTTGGATTTGAATACTGTAAATAATCACTTCTGCGCAGCTGAGGGTTACCGACCTTCACACGAGATTCAGTAACTGATGATCTGAATGCTTTTACCCACTTAAAATGCCAGCTGAGTGCAAACCATCACTGGATCAAAAGGTTGCAATTCCTTAAAATGCTTAGACTTGATTACAGGAACGGATATAACTACATCCTTAAATCTGAGACTTTTTTTTCTTTTTAACAGTAGCTATTTGACCCAGAATCTCTGCTCAGAGCTCCTCAGAAATCCCAAATGTGACTCAGTGCTCTGCAAATAGCTGCAAACAAAATCTAGGTATGTGGCATTCCTGCAACCAGAGCACGTTCTGAACTGAATGCTTTTTTATGGAGCCTGATATCCCAGTCTGAGTCTYTAGCAGTGTGCAGAGCTTGTGTGTAAGCAGCGCATCTGCAGCTTCCCAGGACTTGCAGTTAACACAACCTGTGCTCCATGTTGCATGTTCTACCTTCCATGCATGAAAACGGAGGCAGACTAGTAGTAAGTAGAGGCTAATGCAGCTGTGTAGACTGATAAATCTAAAAGCACATCAGGTCTCTTCAGTGTTTTTTGTTGCTTTTTGTTTATTTTATTTCAACAGAAGAAAGCTTTTTAATTGGATATTGCATTTTTGGGCAAAATAAATTTAAAAGCCGAAGAAGTTATATCCAAAAACACCTACTTCTCTGGTCCATTATGCAGTGCTGCTGGCACGCTTGTGTTGTGCTGACTCAGAGCATCCTTATCTCCTTGTGCAGCTTCTGTCAGAGGCAGCAAATGTCAGGACAGGAATCTCTAATTCTCATGACCCAATGGATGTAAACAGGACAATGTATTGACGATGAAAACCATACTGAGGAGCTTCTTTTTTGTGGATGAAGTATTGCAAGKGATGTACTAAGGTTGGTTTCATTAAAGCAGAGTTACCTTGTTCTTGCAGATTGAGTGAGGTAAGTAAGAGCTCTTGAAAAGCTCCAAGKGGCAAAGTTTATTGCCAGTTTGAGGTGAATATCTGTGTAAGAGTGTGTATCTTCCCTTAGCTATGGTTGTTAGAAGTCAGGGGCTGACATAAATGTTAACTCTATCTGGAGTGTAAATGACGCTTCAAGTAGTCCATTCTGGTGGGCTTGATAACACAGCAAAAGCTGAAAGAAAAGGTATGTGAAGTTCAGCTCTGGCAGAAAATATTTGAAGAATTCCAATAACTGAGAAGTTGAATCTATAAACAGAGGGAACAAAATTAAATAAGGTAACCACAACCAATACTAAGGTGAACAAAAACAATAGGCTGAATTAATTGAGCAAAAGTTGTGTGTGCCAAAATAAGCTGATTACTATCTGATCATCTGTATTTTAGATGAAGGAAAAGCAGGAGAACCAATCCATATGGATTTTGTGGAAGTATCTGATGTGGAGCCACAAAGGAAATCTCTAGATTATTACAACACGGGTAAGACTTTGGTTAAGGAGGAGACTTGGCAAAAAAAGTATTTGACTGGGGATGAATATTAAGTGCTTTATGACTTCAGAAAGACTTTGTCCAAGTTGGACTTGGTGTTGTATTTAGAATTTGTCAGTGGTGTTGGCACAGAGCTAGACTACTCATGATGTGTGGGTAAAGAATTTGCAAGGGTTGACAGTGTGCTCCTGGTCTGGAATGTAATAGAGGGACAGTGGATGATTGTTGTGCCCGACCAAGTGAGATAAAGCTAGCAATGTCCTGTTTCCCCCAGCCTAGATAGGACAGAAGTAATTCAGGATTAAGTCAATCAAAAATCATAAAATGTTGGAAAACATGATTGCCAACCTTATGCTGCAGTATTAGGCAGAGTTAAGCATTTGGAGAAGAATAAAAATGTTGGTGAAATGTGTGTGGATCCTCGGGGAGCATAAAGCTCCAGTTTATGCTGTGATAACCCCTTGGGAAAGAATCTTCCATAAAAGTCTGAGGGGTTAAATACTGTGGAACACTTTAAGTTGCAAAACTCTGCTGCAACAGAGTGAGGAGCTACTTGCTGGCTGCTATAGCTAGCTTGAAATGGAGCTTTTAATGATTGCTGGACAATCTTTAGTATTACTGAGAGCAGAAGGGAAAGAAGTCGGTTTTGAAAGAGTCCTTGATCAGCATGGGAAAGGACGCACAGTCCAGTTGCTCTGATAGCAGAGACTGCACTTACTGACCAAACAGTCTCTTTTGCAGATGTGATAATTATGTGGCTGTGTTTGTTGCTGATCTCTCCCTGCTTGTGCACGAGCAGTGGCCTCATTCAGGAGGATTCCTTGAAAAGATGGACTAGGCCTGRCCTTTTATTTCCCCTGCCTTGTTTGCTTCCCTAAAAGCTAATAAAGGCTAATCCGTTGGCTAGAATCAGCCAGCCCCCCCCAAATTCATCCTTCTAACATCTCCTTCACACATCTACCTTTTTTTATAGGGTTTGTATAGTTTATAGGGTTTGTATTTTTTTTCTCTTCAGCCACTACAAGTGTTTCCCGGCCTTCACGGTGATTGAATGACTTGCAGGCTGCTCTGGGGAGCTCCAGCTGGATTCATGCTGGATGTGTTTTAAAGACTGGGAAATGTGGTTTGAATTACTTGTAATAAAAATGATCTGTTATCATTCACACACTTCCCTAAGAGACTAGTTGGGGGAAAATACTAAAAAATGCCAACCATCCAGCTACGCTTGTAGGGTGGTCTGACATTCCCCAATTCATTCAGGCAATGGACAAAGACTTAAAATGCTTTCCTTATAATACTATAAATTGCAAAACCTGTACAAAAATATTGACCTTTCTCTATTAGAGAGAGAAATAGTCCCTAACTGCTCTAGTCTCTAGCTGTTATGGCTGAGGACTCTTGCCAAATCTTTATAGCTGTGATGTAAATGGAATATTACCTCTCTAGCTGTAGAAACCAGACMCTGTGGTGCCAAAGGGTGATGCTTGAACTTGCGCTTCCCCTTAGCTCAGTTTAGCCAGGACTGCTGCCTTCCCATCAGCTTCTTCCTCATGAGGTAAAATATGGTTTCATTGTGACRGAAAGAGGACATCCAAGGGCTCCTCAGATCTCATGACGTATTTCCTGATGTGACATTGTTCTGGTGATTTTC